ATCCCCCAGCCAGCAAGCTGGCTGGGGAATTCTGAGAATTGAACTCCACGCATCTTCAGGTTGCCAAGGTTGAGAAACACTGATTTAGTCAAAAAGAACCATTTCTACCCAGTTTCTGTGGATTCAGACCATGTAAGACATCTGCATCTTAGAAACTGTCCCTTCCTGTGGTTAGTCCCATTTCACCATTGACAAAAACCTTTTTTAAAAAAGCAGATATTGGCCAGCCCGGAGCCCCTGAACCTCCATCTTGCAGAAACAAATCAACACACAATTGCAGTTTCCAAGGATTGTTTTGATTTCAAACAGAAAAAAATAACTCTGCAATTTACTCGGGAGGGTGACGGTAAATGCATGCATTTGCATCTCTACGTGACAGAGCCAAGGGGTGAGATCGTGTCGTTTGTGCGCCTTCCCCAAAAAAGAGTCCCTTGGGTGGACCAACCTTTGCTTTCCTTCCACCTCCCCCAATTTTTGCTTTCGGTTCTCTCGCTTCGCCTAACCACAATGTCTACCAACCAGCCCTGGACTGGATTCAACCCGATCTTTGATTCTGATTTCATTCCTTTTCTTGAGGGGAACGGGAAGGGCGGGTGGCTGGAAAGTATCCTCTCGCGGGATAAATAAAAGTATTTTTTCCAGAAAATCAAGCCTGAGAGGAAAAGGGAAGCGGGGTCGGGCCGAAAGTTCTACTTCCATTTGTGCTTGGAAAGCAAATTCCTTTGACTTCCTCTGTAAACAGCGATGCTAGGAAGGCCAGGAGCTCTTCTCTTCAGGAGGAAAAGAGACCCGTTCACCAAAACGTCTTTTGTGCGACGATTCTTGGCTGGGTCCCTGCAAATTGACTGGGATGGAAGGGGAACACCGTCACAAGCGTTGGTCACGAATGGGGCTGCGTGCTTCCCTTTTTTATGCTCAGAGTTTAGCGTTATGAACGTGAAGAGCACAAGCCAACGCAGAGACCTCCGATCCCCAGAGCCTTGCAAGGGGACCCACCATGAGCGCAAGACCTCCCTTTTCCAGGGGCAGAGAACAAAACACAGTCACTGCTGCTAATCCCAGCGGAGGGCATGAAAGCATTGGGGACCATCCTGAGTTCCAACATCTGGCGGGCCCCAGGAGTGTACTAGAGGTTGTCATACTTCCTCAGGGTGTCTTCCAGCTGCTGGCTGACTCTCTGGTAGAACGCTATCTGCTCCCTGATGTAGGACTGCATCATCTTCTTGAAGTCCAATATGCGCCTCTGGTGAAAGTGGTTCATTTCTGCCTGCAGGGCAAAGCCCACCACGCGGCAACGCTTCCGGATCCCGTCCGCCTCCTCCTGATCCATCTTCCCTTCGTCACTCATTCGCTGGCTCTCCTTCACTTTAGCAAAGGCACCTGTCGGAGGGAAGCAAAGGGACAGCCCGCCAAGGTTATTAAGCCCTCCAAAGATCAATCCGGCCAACGTTAAGTTGGGCAAGCAAGAGGAAAGAATACTCAAGAATGAGAACTCAGGGTCCGGTTAACCTTATGCACTTCTCTAGAAGGTGAGTTGCTTGCCCTGCATCAAGAAACCCACGCCATATCTGTTCAGCTTTGGAAGCAAACCAGCTTTCTTGGTTTGCGATCAGCACCTCTGCGAACAGAGGGCACTGCTTGAGTTTGGAAAGGAAGTAGCATTAGATGGTTAGATCTAAGGCTGCGAACACCCCAGCTGTCCCCAGCTTGATGTCTTTCAGAAGGATGGGGCTACCATCTCCATGATCTCCAACCGACCACCCCCCAACAGAGGAACCTGAACTTCAGCTCTATTTTCCATGAGTCCCAAGGCTGATGACTGCTCACGCCAAATGAGCCCAGATCCTAACCCCGGTGTACAGATAGAATGGATTTGATTCCTGAGGCCTTCCCTGTCAGCCAGGGTGGGAAGAAAAGCAATGCTTTCCAAAACAAGGAGTAAGTGTCAAAAACAACTGTCCAGACCAGTGTTTCTCAACTTTAGCAATTTGAAGATGGGTGGATTTCAACTCCCAGAATTCCCTAGCCAGCATGGCTGGCTGGGGAATTCTGGGAGTTGAAGCCCACCCATCTTCAAGTTGCCAAGGTTGAGAAACACTGGCTTAGACAGACAAGATTGGGCAAGATTCTGCCCCTTCCTAGAGTCCCCTCTTTGGACTGAAAACAGGCCGTGCAACCCACCTTAGTAAGCGTGGTCCTCTAGTTGAAAGTATTGCCTGCTTCAGGGTGGGAAACTGCCATTATTGCTGAACTACAACTCCCAGCAATCCCAGCCAAGAGTGAAGGTTGCTGGGAGTTGTAGTTCAACAGCACCTGTCATTCAGGTTCCCCAGCCAGTCCAAAGCTGGCTTAAAATTAAGTATATTAAGAAAACCGAGCAGGCGCCATAAATATATCAAGGGCAGCCAGCATCCAACAGGATATTCAGTTGCTGCATCGCCATTCCCAGGTCTTTTAAAATTATAGTAATTATTTCTAAAACTGTATGCACGCTGACCAACTTTCTCTTACTTGGGAATCCAACTGGTTTCTATTTCCTTCTGGCAAATCTGTTGCTTCTCAAAATGTCTGCATTATTACCTTAAGGCACTGGGGTTGAGTTACTAAAAACACAATGGAAATATATGCTTCCCGCTTTAGGAACTTGCAGAAGAACTTACAAGAACCAGCCATCATGACGTTCAAGCTAGAATAGGTCCTTGAACACAGCATTATAATATTGCCATGCAACAGAGGCTTTGCAGAAACATTTCTCTCCTGGCACACCCTGGCCTGTGTAAGTATGGGCCAAGTTCAAATATCACACTAAGCAATGGGTTGCGTAAATTGTGGATTGTTGATTAAGCTACAAATGACTCCATTTGCACAATACACTAAGCTATCAGCCTCCATTTACAAACCACGGGGGCTGTGTTCATGCAACATGACAAGCCACCATCAAACAGAGCACATCGGGACCTGGAAAAATGGGAAGCAACCGTAAACGAAGCCAACAGAAAACAAGGCAGCTAGACATGATCTCTGATGACCCAACACAAGCATGAGTTTTCAAGAACTCACAGCAGCAGTTACTAATGGATGGTCCTGTTGAAAGGAGCCCCGTTCGTTTCAAAGAACTAGGAGCAACCCAACAACCCAACAGCAACAAGGGTGATTTGTACTCAAGAACCAAATGAATCCTCTTTCTTTATTTACCTTGTTTTAATCCAGACTTCCCCGCCTGTTCTCCTCCAGAGACCCACCAGCACAGGAGTTATAACCTAATGCATCGGAAGAGCAGCAGCTTGGAGAAGGCAGAGAAAGACCAATAAGTTTCAAGCCTTAGTTGGCCAAGGAGGATAGACCACCAGAGGATGGAAAAGAGAGTAGCAGAAAAGTATTCGCTTTCTTTCTGGGCCTGCCAAAGTATCCCACTTTAAACAACCCATAAAGAACCATTTTCCCACTGGGTTTTGTCCTCCACTTAGCACTGGGTGCCTCTCAATGGGATCTCCGCTTCTCCAAGAGATGATCCTCTCTTGCTGTCAACCTGAAGATATAAGCCATCATGGAAGCCAAGTGGGTGTTACAATGCTTATTGACTTGGCTACCTTCACAGAGAGAAAGGGACAGGCTGGTGAAAGACATGCTAAAACAGAAAGGAAAGGAGAAGCTTCTTGGGCTCCAGAAGTGGATGGACAGATGGACCAGAGGAAGACTTGGCCAATCAGAGATGTGTGTGGACTACTGTAGGAGGACAGCTGTGTTAGTCTACAGTAGCCAAAAGCTAGGAGAAGTCTGGTAGCAGCTCTTCTGACTTGCATATTTGATTCAAAGGCATCAGCTTCCGTGAGCTCACTTCAGAAGCATGGAGTGAGTTCTTGCGATGAAGTGAGTTGTAGCTCACAAATTTGCTTGTTAGGAAAGGTGCTACCAGACTCCTCCTGCTTTGTGGTCTCCAGGGAAGACCTGAGGTTTATTCAAGGGTTAGAAGAATATCTACTTATAATTTATCATCATTATCATCACCAACATCCACCTTATTTTATTCTACTCATGCCGAGGAACTCAGGGAGGCAGGAAAGTTCTCCTGGTCCCCCGTTCCATCCCCTCAATCTCTTCCCATCTAGCATTCATTATTGCCTTACTTTCTGTAAAAGCCAACCATGGGGGTCCATAAACCCTACTTTGCCATTTAATTTCCTGCCTGGTGGTATGTCAAACATGCCTGCTAACATCTTGGGTGGCCCCAGCAAACCCTGGTTTGTTCCCTCAACCATGGCTTAGCATGATCAGCAAAGCCTGTCTTGGTGACACTCCCGCAGTTAAAGAGTTGAGCAAGAGGACCTTGTTGCTGGCTCCCCTTTTACGCAGAAACAACGCAGAGCTGGCCTCAGGGCCCAGAAACATTTTCCCTCCCCAGTGATTCAGACCTTTCTGAGAAAGGAATACACCAGACAATAACAACCTCACCTTGAATCCACAGGTGCGGCTTCAGTGTTGCATATGAATCACCATAGACAGAAACCACAGTAGCCAAACAGCTGTGTCCCCAGATCCCCTTATGGAATTTGCTGCCGAGAGACGGGTAGCAAATGCCCTCCCACCTCCCCAAATTTCAAGGACTTCTGACGCCCTTCCTAGATTCACGCCTCGGGGGATCTACTGCACGAACAATCGTTTTTCTGCATTTTTTTTCCCTTCCCTGCAGATGGCATTAAAATAAGCTATTCGAGCATCCTTAATTCATCCTTGGTCTTGAGAGATTTCAGGATGAAACTGTAACTTGTACCTTTGCTTTGGAAATTTGCAACGATGCACCACCGACAAAGGCCGATATGCCCACGTGCACCATTCGATTTGCAGAAAAATAGCAACATCCTTGGGGGCCACTAAGCTGCAATAAAATCTTCAAGGCTTTCTGCATGTGGAGAAAAAAGGAGGGGGCTCCAAGCCCGTTTCTCAACTTTGGCAACTTTAAGATTTGTGGACTTCAACTCCCAGAATTCCCCAGAGCTGGCCTTGAGCAATTACACTGTGCAACTTTACCAAGATTGACTCGCGCGGCTCTACAAAAGTCTGCCGAGGAGTGCCCCCTATGCCAACCGCACGCTTGGCAGCCATGCAGCCATTGAACCAACTGGAAAAACAAAACGAAAACTGAACCATGGACTCGTTGCAACGTTAACGGTGCTAACTGAGGGTAACTGTCAGCACAGCAACCGCCTGGGAAAATTTCTCCCCAAACTGAAAGCACAACCCCCCCCCCAAAAAAAACCCAGTAGCCAAATTTGCAAACAAGAAAAAGAAAAAAGATGCTTGGCATGCTCTGAGAAGGTGATGATCATTCTCTCTAGCAGGATGCGGCCAGAAGAGATCTCAGCATCGGCTGTGTGGGCGCCGTTGGGGAACTGTGATATCCCCGTGAACTGTGCCTCTGGGTTAATATTAGCCTTTCCCTGGTGTCTGGGCCGTGAGCCAGCGAGATAAGACACTTGCACAGCATGGCACAGAAAGGAACCGCACAGCTCTGTGCCGTGATCCTTTGCGTGTTTTGAACTAGGCTGCCTTTTAAATATTAAACCTGGGTGTGCTTTTCTCGGCCACGCTGCCAATGGGAAGAGCGGACGGCGGCCCCCAGACATTGAATGATGCACCCGGGAAAGTGCGTTCCCCAAATGTGCAGGGCAAGGATCAAAACTATTTCCCATTTCATTTCCATTCAAGGTAACCGAAACGGATTAAACGCAGCCCCTCCAGACGAAGTCCGTTCGTTCAGGACGTATTACAGCTTGGAAGGTTTGAAGCTTAGCTTCTCAGTGCCTGGGGGATCCTCCGCTCAGTTCACAGGCCTGCAGAAGGCAAGTCACGAAATGAACTGGGGGAGGGATTTGAGATGCAGACCCGGACCCAGAATCCTTGCCTCCAGGAGACCGAGCTGTGTTCGTCAAACAAAGAAGCCAGGAAAAAAGTCAAGTCTCTAGTCCTTATGGGTGCAACGGTAGGCAAATCGTCCTGGAATATCACAAGCTAGAGGGGAGGCATTTGGGGGGTAGCTTTGCTGCGAAAAGAAGAAAGCGCTCGCCTCGGTTAGGGGTTAGGGCTTTGGCGTGTGCAGCTTAGTCCGTCTTGCAAAAGCCCAGGCAGCGAATTCAGTTGGTCAAGTCGGACACGTGAACAGAGCCGTCCTCTTCTGCCTGCTTATTCATTTAACCCAGCTTGCTCGATGCTCATTTAAAACACATGTGCAACGAACCGCAGTTGTTTGCAATTTTTCAGCTAAAAAGACATTTAGGGAGAACCCTGAACTTCCTTGTTTTCTGGTCCCAATTCCTGATAAGCCTTCCCTTCATCCCTCTTTCCGCCTTTCAGGAATCCATTTGGAAAAGACTCCGGAGTCA